TATATATATATATATAGAAAATTGGCATGACGTAATAGTTTAAATATGTATAGTATATGTATTGTAAAGTGAGTAGGACTGATATTTGATCGATATGTTTTCATTAGTTACGAGATGTAAAACAGTTGATATTGAATAATATTAATCAAAAGTTAGTCAAAAGAAGAGAAAAATATTGTTTAATGCAAATATGTCATTCATGATGCAAAAATTAGAATTTTATGAAGGAAACGGAGATAGTTTTTTATTATATATACTATTTGACTTAGAATGTCAGATTTTGAGAAATAAGTATGATTTTTCAAAGAATAAATATTATAGTAGGTCATTTTCATTATAAAGCACGGATAAATTCAAGGAATAAATGGAACGCGATCAAAACCGGTTGACGAATTGTCGAGGCACGAAAGAAGTTATTTCGATAGATTTAATGCTTTTATTATTTTTGTTTGTATTTTATAAAATATTTATAATGTATCACAAGTAAACTTTTAACTTATAAATTAATTTATTTAACGTTATAATAATATAAGAAAAATCTGAATACTACTAATCTTTACTCTTTCATTAAAATATTAAATGTAGCGTTGAATTATATATTCTTTTACTTATACGTGACCTATAATTGTCAGAAAATTATATTTTTATATGATCGAAGCAAAATTTATTAAAAAAAAATATTCGATCCTGTGATATCATTAGAAAATATTCTTTTTACTTACTTATCCTTCGGAAAAATCTAATTTTAAAGAATTCGTCGCAGTTTCGCAAAAATATTGAAAATCGATGAATTTGAGACAAAATTTTATAATAATTCATTCCTTTCCACTTAACTATTCTTTTCTAATGCATTCTTCTCTCGTTGAAACATAACAATTCAAATTTAACCTATAAAACACTGTAAACACTATAACGCTGCTAACCTATAAAATTTACAAAAAAATAAAAATGTCTCTATTATACTTGTTTATTATTACAATGAATATTTAAAATATTTCTATTTGTTTAACATGATAATCGCGCGATTTCTTTATCTAAAAATTAACGCAGAATGCAATTTCCATTCCAACAAAATAAAAAATAGACGCTTCATCTTTTATACTCGCGTCAAAAGGAAAAAGAGAATATGTTATCTGAAATGCACATCTGGAGTTTATAAAACAGACCGATCTTAGCCGGATTCATACGTAATTATTCGGTGCACAGGAGGTTCGCACGTCAATGATACGCATTTCGAGCCCTGGCGTGGTCGGGCTCATTGTCGTTGGCGGTGACAATAGGGAACAAAGTAAACGGACTCGTTCACCGCAACCGTTATTCATTGTTATGCGCCGTGACGTGGACCACGGCCGCGTTTAGCCTCGTTAAGAACAATTAAAAGTAACCGACGAACCGAGTATTGCTTAATTGCCGCCCGCGAACGTTCCCTTCAAGATCCAGGACCCAGCCTTCAACCTAACCTAACAATAAGCAGAGTCAAAAGTTGCGTGCATGGCACTAGAACGTTGCGCACGTGGTAAAACAGTACGAAATCACAATGGCGGTTTTGCTCCAGTATGTGAAGAATCAGCGAGTTCAATGTCCGCGTTATCTTTTTTTTTTTTTCATTTTAAATTCGAGTTTCGTGTAATCTACTAACGAGTGAATTTGAATCGAGATAACGATTTCATCAGGAAGAATACAACTATAACGATTAAAGTCATTTTTCATTTTAAATTTATTACGAATTGATCGCGGCAATTAACAGCCTTGTTAACGATCCTTTCTCCTCCTTTGTGAACCGTGCCACAAGTTGTGCGCGAACAAGCGTTCATCCTTTGTCCCAGTGTTCGATTTTCCTTTCCGTCCAAAGTAACTAGTTCGTGGAAGATACAACGCCGTGCAAACTGACCGTTAACCGGATTTTCGAAAAATTTGCAGAATTCCCACGAAACGGAATCTCCTCTTTTATTCTTACAAGGTATTTCTTTACCGTTTCTTTTTCTACCACGGATTCAGACGTTTCGGTAACGAGGACGTGTTATGCAAATTTGTGGATATTGTAGCTGGCACGAGAGAGAATACGATATTTCTGTTGGCAGAAATTTCTAAAAAAAGGAGACCAAGCATTGTTTAATTTTCTACTTTTGGCCGAATTGAAAGCGCATTGTTCGAAGATTTTTTTTAAAGGTAGCTAATTTAAAATCTTCGAATCTTTGTTGGGTTTAACATTATCAATATACTTCAAGAGAGAAATCAAATTTTCAAAGATAATTGTATTTTGTTTCGAATTTTTTATTTTTTTATTTTTATATCGCATGAAAGGATAAAAAAAAATCCATACGTTTTCTCGATCATCCGGGAATAGGATCGACGCGATTCAGCGGCTCGTTAATAACTGGTCAAAGAAATCGACGATGGTAGCGATTAACGAGTCACGATTTCTCGACGGAGTATGCTTTCATCTTTAAACGGTGTTCACGATAAATCAGCACCTTAAAACTGCCCTGTTCTCCGCCAACAACGGTCTCGGCCTCCGTTATCTATCGCTGTAGCGTGCACACTGTTTGTCCGTGAAATCCTCCCTCTGATTTACTATCCGTTGTCTGATATTTTCTATCGAATTAAAAATATCGAAAGAAGGGAAAGAAAAGAGAAACGACGAAAAAAAAAGAAAAAAAAAAAAAAATTAGAAAAAGAGGAAAGAAACCTTGGTGAAATTATGATTGCACGGGCAAAATCACGTTTCTAAGGTGAAACGTTTATAATACCGTGTTACGATATTATCGAGCACGCGATTAGACCACAATTGTGTTTATACGTGAGATCTCGCTTGTTGTGCATAGGGAAAATTAAAGCGTTAGGTCAATGCGTTAGGTTAATTTGCATTTTTTTTTCAATTTTTATTATTCTGTTTTTTAATACGTTAATTATTTATGAAAAGGAATTTTTTTTCTTTGTTATAATATTTATTTTCTCATGGATATTCCTTTTCTATTCTCTGTTTCTTGCTACCATCAATGCTTGTATCGTTTAATAAATAATTTCTCTTACGCTTTGCCATGCGGTGTGGTTGTAAATACGTCGTAACCCGGATACCCAGTATCGAAATTTTTTAAGAATCGTGGCGCACGATGGTTCATATTAACCGGTCACGATCCTTTAATCTTTTAGTCGCGTTAGCTTCTTTAGTCGCGACATAAGCTGCTATAATGCACGTGCGCCACGTCCTCGTGGTGGGAATGCTGGTATGGGAGGAGGGGGGGATAGTAGTTCCTCGATTACGGCGTTCGAAGGGCGGGCCGTGTTACGATGGTGTAACAAAATAGTAATGTTTACTCGCCATGTTGTTCACATGTTGCGTATTAAAAATAAAAAATAGACGTTGGTCGAGGAAACGTTGACAAGTTATCGCAATAATAAAAATTTGTTATGTCTTTCGAAAGAATTTTACGATAAACTATTTCAGTTATTTTTTTACAAAAAATTTTAAAAATAGAAATCCTTCAAACAGTTCTCTTTATCTTACATCGAGCATTTTAAATTCTCCTAAGAATTAGCCAGGTTAACGTTTTATCATAAAATAGCAAGGGTGTATACTTCGAATGTTAATCCGGATTGCAGGCACTAAAGAAGTTGATTTACAATCGGCCAAACTTAATATGTTTGCAAATATGTGGATTCCTGATTTGTATCGATAAACCGTGCATATATATATATATATATATATAATTAATCATAGGCTTAACCTCTGAATATATTCTAAAAAATGGTAGAATTTTTAAATAGAAAATTTATCTAAGAATAACAATATATTGCCAATTCTTTTTTTTTTTTATTAATGAATGACGTCACTGCATCATTGTCAATAACAATTAATTAATTAATTAAAGGATTAATTGAACAAAGTTCTTCCTTGATTCTTCAAGCATTCATAAAGAAATCGAGGGGGACTACTATTTGCTTAACCATGATGCCTATAAAATATAACCATTACAGGAAGTAGCCTAGATAATAATATTCGGTCTAAAAGCATCCTTCTAAATTTATTTTTTAACCACCTCCCCCCTCCTGACTCGCATTGTTATTCCTCACTCTTTCACCCTCTTATGGCGAAGAAACGGAGGGCACGTCCCGTTGCTGGACGCACATACATACAGGGATCCACCTCGCCTACTCGTTCACGGTTATGCCTTATTTATGAGCACACCGATACTTCCGAGCGCGGACAAAAGGCAAGAAATATGCCTCGCGTGGAAAAGTAGAATTCCAATCGCCATTCGTGGCGGGCACGCGTCGTTAAGGAG